TGTAAAATGGGGCGAGGTGGAGCCTGAAGCAAGCTGAGGAGCACATTCTTGTTCAAGTCATCATCTTACCAGGACTATGTACCCAGTGTTGTCAGATCTCATTTTTCACTCTCACAAAAGAGTGATATTTGATATCAGGAGTCAGAAATTTTCCTAGAAATTTTCCAGTTAAGCATTGGCAGTTAAAATTAAAAAGTTTAAAAACCTGTGTGTGGGCTGAACAAAACGAATCTGTGGGCATTGATTTCTGGCTGCAGTCCAGTTTGAGACCTCTGCTTTAAATCTTTAGTTAACTTTGTTTTCTGTTTCTAAATGTACTACTACTAGTAGAGTGCATTTATTAGGTTTATTTTGTTTTATAGCTTAGCTTAATAGCTTGCTGGTTGTCCCTCCTCCCAAATTAAAAGCAAATGAATGGGGTGTTGTGGTGCACTGTAATCCCAGCGGCTCAGGAGGCTGAAGCAGGAGAATTGCAAGTGTAAAGTCAGCCTCAGCAAAAGCGAGGTGCTAAGCAACTCAGTGAAACTTTTTTTCTAAATAAAATACAAAATAGGGCTGGGGATGTGGCTCAGTGGTTGAGAGCCTCTGGGTTCAATCCCAGTGCCCACCCCCCCCCCAAATGCTAAGAGCATGATGGAGGGCTGGGACAGGGTTCTGGTCACTCTTAATACTTCTCTGAGAGCAGCTGATTTTATTCAGTGCTGTTTTCTCAGAAATTCGGATACTCTGCCTCCCTTGTTTGGTTGATTTTGAACCATTTCGAGACAAGTATGGTACATATCAAACACTATAAGAAACTAAAGTGTTATGAGTATACACTAACTTTTACATATGTTCTTCAAGTTGCCTAGAATCTATGGAGAAGCCACAATATTAAAAAAAAGTGATAAATCATGTAATTGCATAGTAAGAGCAGTAATCTCTCTGGAGGCTCATTCCTCTTGTAATTTATCAAGTAATTCTTTATATAAAGATAACTAGTTTGCAAGTTTATGAATTGCTTTGCAAATACAAAGATTATTTTGCCAATTAAACCAGCATAATTGACAAATCACCCTCATAAAGCTGGGGACAAGGTGTTAAATGATCTGTGTTGCTTGGGTATCCCTTTCACCCTAATTCCAGGCAGCTGAGTTTTCGCAGTAATTAAGTGGGGAATTTAGAAAGATTCTGAGTTGAATTTAGGTTTATACCATAACTGCATCATCTCAGGAATTTCATTATCAAGAAGGAATCTGAGTAAAAATAACCACCATTTATCGAGTGTCTGTTTTGTGCTCCAGCCTGTGTCACAGTATCCCTGCAAAGTAAGACCTGGAATTCTTAAAAGAAGTCAGGTAGGCATCTGGAATGAAATTCCAAATATTGGCTTGTAAAGAAGAGCCTTAAGAGTTTGCTTCCCTTAGAAGAAGGCTTTCAGGGGTATTAGAACTAAAGAGGCACTCAGCCCTCCTGCATATTGGAAGAGTGGCTGTGGAACTCCATGTAGGACATCTTGTAGTCTGGTGGCCCCAGGTTCCAGATAGCTGTTGTACAGTCTTGTGCTGGTGGTGTACCCTGTTTCACACAGTAGGAAGGAATTTGAAAATTGCCTCCAGTGTATGTACACGCCTCTTTCAAAAAAGTTGGATCTGAGAAAGAAGGGAGGGAACCGAGTCAACCTGATGGTGGGCATGGATCCCTGCAGTAGGAGCCTGGGATGTAAGAGTATATCTGCCAAATCCTGTGAGGGCTGTTTCCTGTGTGCTCTAATGTGTTCTCAACACTCTGTGTTGGTGCTGCTGCCTTTCATTGTACTCTTCTCTTTTTGCATTGGGTAGATTTCTGCAAAACAACTTAGAAAACCAAGTGATTCCTTAAAACTAAAAAAAAAAAAAAATTCCAATTCTGGGCATTAAACCTCATGCATACTAGGCAAGTATTCTACCACTGAGCTACATCTCCAGCCCTTTTTTATTTTGAGACAGGGTCTGCCAGAATTGCCCAGGCTGCCCTCGGATTTGGAGTCCTCCTGCTTCAGCTTCCTGAGTTGCTGGGATTACAGGCTTGCACCACTGTTAAAGATTCAAATCTTTGCTGGGCATGGTGGCACATGCCTGTGATTCTAGCAACTCAGGAGGCTGAAGCAGGAGGATCCCAAATTTGAGGCCAGTCCCAGTAACTTAGCAAGACCCTATCTCAAAAAAGGGACTGGGGATGTAGCTTAGTGGTTAAGCATCCCTGAGTTCAGTCCCTAATACAAAGAAACAAGAGATTCAAATCTTTAACATAAAATGGTGTGTGTGTGTGTGTGTGTGTGTGTGTGTGTGTTTTGAGAGAGAGAGAGAGAGACAGAGAGGAGAGAAATATGAGCATAATGTAACATGTTATCAGTTCAGTGCCTGGATTCAGTGTATTTAAATAATTTTTAATCCTACTCCTTCCTCTGTTCTTTCCTCATTAGACAAGAATTATCTCAAATCTTTAAAATCAACTGCAAACAGAACACTTAACTGGGGATATTGAAAATTCAGGAGTTCAGTTTTTAATATTTTACTGTATGTTACCACAGTGGTTCAAGATTCATTAATAAGCTACTCAGATACTTTGGAGCATGTTAGAGATGCTCAATAAATAGATATTGAATGACAACTTTTTGTAATGTCCTCATTTTGTATGCAGAGTGTCATACCTGGTTCCTTTTCTATAAAGACCTGTGGTCTTTTGCATTCATTCCCAGCCAGTTTGTTTGAGTCTTGTTCTGGAAAGGCTCTGCTGTGGACTCTAGTGAAATAGACAAGAGATAATGGTCAGCCTCAAAGATTTTGCAGTCTGGTAGTAAGAAGCAAGGGGCTGGTGAGGCAGAGGAAGAAAAATGTGAGCAAGATAATGAAAGCCAGAGTCTTACTGTTTTGGGATCTTTAGTAAAGTGGGATTATAAGTACCTCAAGGATTTGGAGTGATGGGAAGATCAATCTAGTATTATTGTTTATTTATAGAAGAGTAGTGGATGATGGAGTTGAGAACCCCGCACAGAACCTAGTATCTGAATATCTTGGATATCCAAGAGATGTTTGGGAGTTGCTTAAGGCAGTGGATTTTGAATTGGGGCCAGAGAACTGGAGAGAAGGAAAGGCTGAAGGCAGGAAGACCGCATGTGGTAAATTTAAGTTGATGAAAGCCACATAAAGGCTGAGTGAGTGTGAAGGGCAGAGTCAGATGGATACATTTGTGCTCAGCGCAAGGTAAACAGCTAGTGTACCTTAAAGAGAATCTGCATGATTTAATAAAGCGACTGGGGAGGAGGATAAGAGAGTCAACGTTGAGATCAGCCCTCTGTGCCAGACTGTCAGAACAGCAGCCTTGGGTGAAATGGTGGGATGTTGTGTGTGAGCAAACACAGAGGTATCCTGATCCCAGATGGTTGGCTCGTGAACTCTTACGTTGGGGCTAAACATGGATGACTGGGAGGCCAGTAGACATCATCTTTGAGGGGTGAGAATAGAGATGGTTTCTATGCCTTTAGGTTTGCTCAGAGGCGTCTGTTCATAAATTTCTCTTCCTTGCTGAACTTTTTTTTTTATTAGTCCAAAAAGGGTTGGACAGGGGAGAGGCGACAGTACTTACCCTGACTACTTCACTGAGATACTTTATCAAAGTACTGGTTCTTGTTACTTCACCAGGTTTTATCAGTGTGATTTGTAATCTGTAAACGGCCACCCAAATATGAACTCTGAATGTGTTTGTCCCTGGGATAACCAGCAGTCCCTGAGGTTAGAATGCATTCTCTGCTTCTGACTGGAATTGTTCTTGCTCTTGTGCCCTGAACAGCTTAATTACCAGGGGCCTAGGCGGCAGAAAGTCTCCAGTATCTTCTAGTTGATCATTCTCAAAATAAAAAGTAGCCCTTTCCATAAAACTTGGATTGATCCAGAGTGTTGATTTATTGGTTCCTAAAGATCTTTCACTGAGCTGCCATATGTTGTCTAGCAGAAACCTTTGGAAAGGAATTGAACAAAATTCTGAGAGATCTTGTGTCTTCTCTCAAGACTATGTTCCAAGGAGACAACACTTTTCAGATTTGGTATCTTTCTTAGTCCCTTAGGATTCTCAGTAAAATGTGGCTTTAATTATTTTGTTTAATTAAATTTTTATGGCAAACTAATTCAACCCTTGTATTTTTAAAATTCTGAGTATGAGGATTAAAAAGAGTCCTTTGGATTGACCTGGATAAAGGAGTTTCAAGGTGATATGAATAGAAAGATCACAACTGTTCTGTTTTGGCTAGGAAAAGGATTTTTTTTACTCAACCTGAGGGGAAGGATATGTCTTTTCCCTTCTTATTCTGGCCTTTACTTTGTCTTAGATTCTTAAAGACTAGCAATAGCAGGACTTGGAAAATAATGAGAGTCTTTTGCTAATTATTCCTGACATGATCTATAACCATTTTAATTATTTGCATGTGTCTAAATTTTGAAGTCTAGAGAACTGCTATTGAAGGGGATAGCCATCTGCCTACTATTGGATTTATAGGTTCATATTACATGATAAAGGGGGATCTTGAGTCAGGTGTGGTGGCACAGGCCTGTAATCCTGGTGACTTGGATGGCTGAGGCAGGAGAATCACAAGTTTGAGGCCAGCCCCAGCTACTTAGCAAGGCTCTCAGCCACTTAGTGAGACTCTGTCTCAAAATAAAAAATGGGCTGGGAGTATGGCCCAGTGGCAAGGTCCTGGGTTAAATCCTCAGTACCAAAATCCCTGGGTTAAATCCCCAGAACCAAAAAAAGGAGGGGAAGGATCTTGAACAGCAGTATATTCCTTCCATTAGGCAGTCTTTGCTTCCTCTGTGGTTTGGACATTTGGGGATCTGATTTCTGCTGCACCAGAAAGTAGTGGCTTGATTTAGTAAGCATCTGAAGGACTGGCAAGACTATTCTGCTCAAGTCTTGCAGAGAAGTTTTTGTTTAGGATGATCACTGAGCTACCAACCCCAGCCTTTTTTTTTTTTTTTTTTTTTAAGACAGGATCTAAGTTGCTGAAGCTGTCTTTGAACTTGAGGCCCTCCCACTTCAACCTCTCAAGTTGCTGAGATTACAGGCACACCACAATGTCCCCACTAGAAAAGTTCTCAAAAGGAAAAGAATTGTTGAATGGGACCTGTTAAGTACAGCAGGGTGGCTTGATGATGTGGCAGATGGATCCTGATTGGCTGAGGTGCTTGGACAAAGTGAAGAGCTGTCTTTCTTGTCACATAAAGAAGTCCATAATGGGGGCATACCTTTCAAATTAGCAAGTCGGTGAGTGGTTTGGTTTTCTCTCTCTGTCCTCTTCCCCTCCTCCCCTTTCGATCTCCCTTCCCTTCATTCTTCCAATCTCTTCCTTTCCTTCTTTAAGCCTCAGGATAAATGGTTTGTTTAAATTAGGTCTTGAGACAGTTCCCCAACTCTTAGAACTGTGGATCTGGCACAATTTAAAAGCAGTGGAGCAAAGACCAAGATCTCTGACCACATGAAAAAAATGTTGAGCATTTCCAGCAAAGCTTAGGAAAAGTCAAAATGGACCATGGTATATGAATTATGTAACATCATTAAGTAATGGTATTCTTAACCTAAAAAATTAGAAAAACATTTCATTGTGATAAAATATACGTTTATAATTTTAACCATTTCACTTATGATAAGTACATTGACATGGTATGTCATCTTCACCATATTTGTTTCCAGCACATTGTCATCATCCCAAACGGAAGCTCTGAACCCATTAAATAACTCTTCCAGCCCTTGGTAATCTACTTTCAATCTTTATGAATTTGCCTTTTCTAGACACTTCCTATAAATTGAATCATACATTATTTGTCCTTTTGTGTCTGGTTCATTTCACTTAACATAATGTTTTCAAGGTTCATACTGGTTGTAGGATGCATCAGAATTTCATTCCTGGGGCTGGGGCTATAGCTCAGCGGTAGAGTGCTCACCCAGTGTGCATAAAGTCCTGGGTTTGATCCCCAGTGCCACAGATAAATAAAATTGTATATAATTTCAGTATATCTAGGGGAGGACAAACTAACCCAGCCGTAATATATTCATCTTAAAAAGGAAGAATTTTATTCCTTTTTATGACTGAGTTATTCATTGTTTTTGTGCTGTGGTTTGTTTATCCATTGTCTATTGGTGGGCACTTGAGTTTGTTCATGTCTTTGGTTTATGAAGAGTGCTGCTATGAACACAAGTTACATACCTGCCTGAGTGCTTGCTTTCAGTTCTTCTGGGCACATACCTAGAATGGAATTGCTGGAACATTTGGTCATTCTATGTTTAACTTTTTGAGGAACTGCTAAATTATTTCCCACACCAGCTGTACCACTTTCATTCCCACCAGCCATTCTGGTTTCTCTAGATCCTCACCAACATGTGTTACTTTCCATGGTTAATAGCCATCCTAGTGGGTGTGTCAAAATTTTTAACATTTATTCTGATCTTTGTTGGATGACTCAGAAGGGCAACTTACCATCATGAGGAGCCATTTCCTTCAGGTTACTAAAAGGTGTCAGTGGCCATATGAAAGGGAAGGTGAGGGATTCTGGCCATTTATACAGTATCAGTATATTCATAAGATATTTCATTCATAAAAAGTTTTATATTTTTCTTGATGTGACCTTTTTAAAAATATGTGGGTTCATGGATCAGCTGAGACCCTCAGATTGAGATGAGACACAGTTTAGGAGTTGTAGGATACATATCAGCTTTTATATTTGGCTTTTAGAGTTGCAAGTAATGGTTTGGGCAGTCCTAAGCTTTGGTAAGAAGTCCTTTGACTGTACCTATTATCTTACTCTACCTGTTGCCTTGCCTGACAGATGCCTCAACAATGCTCAGTAACCAAAAACCCAGCACAGAACCTAGTAGAAAGGGATGTGGAAGAAATTGAGATGTTGGTTGTCTTAAGTGGTCCCATTGCTGCTCAAAATTTAGTTTTTAGTCCTCCTCATTGCTTCAAAGAGCTAGTTCTGTTTCAGGATTGTTTTCCTGTGCCTAGGAGGTGTTGTTGAATATTTTTGAATGAGCCCAGGTACAGAAAATATATTGGTAAATATTATTTCTGATGAACCATAGTTCTTTCTTCCTTGAGAAACCCACAAAACAGTACTGAGAACTGGTGAGCCAGCGCTGTCAATAAAAAGAAGTGATGCCTGGGAGAATTTAGCTCCTCTGGTGTTTGCTAGTTTGTATTTCTGGAAAAAGGACTCATCTTCAGGGAGGGAGGGCGATTATACTCAAGTCTGGGAAATGGCGCTGCTCTTGCCCCTATTGTGATTTGCGTGCACAGCAGCTCCTTGGCCTGTCCAAGAAGTCCTGCAGGAGAGGTAGCCAGTCATTTCATCTTCCTTGGAACAGACATTCCTCAGTTGTACTTTGGGAAATTAGAACATTGCTTTCAATGCATATCAGTATCAAAGCTGTGAGTAAAACATGGATATCCTTGAGAGTAAAAAAAAGTGTGAAGCCATCCTGAAAAGCAAGTTGTCACACATTCCTCCTCAGTGTTATTCTGCCACTAAGCATTAATGCCTCCCTGTGTGGCTCCCTGGTATAGGACACAGTTTATTGGAAGATGGTATGTAATGGTAACTGCTGTAGAATCCTTTATTTTTTGCTTCCACTTTCAGATGGGGAATTTTGTTCTTCATGGTTGTTTCCCAGCTCATGTTTAGAACAATACTCTAAATTTCTGGGAAATGGGTCCAAAATGTTGAGTGAGAAACAACCTAGGACTGGGAGTTCATTACTGAGAGGAGCCCCACTGCTTGAAGTAGAATTGGTGCTTCTCTCATCCTGTTTCCTCCTGTTTGATTTTTATTTATTTATTTTTTGGGGGGTTTGGGTTACAGGGGATTGAACTCAGGGACACTTAACCACTGAGCCACATCCCAGCTCTTTTTTATTTTGAGACAGGGTTTCTCTAAGTCGCCTAAGGCCTTGCTAAGTTGTTGACATTGGCTTTGAACTTGCGATTCTCTTACCTCAGCCTCTAGAGCTGTAGGATTATAGGTATGCCACAGCCTCTGTTTTGTGCTATTTGAGAAACAAGGAGAAGCAACTTATTAGGACCTTCAGCAGCCCTTCACTTGGGAGCTTACCCCTTCACTTGGTGGGTGCCTACTCTTTGGAAACCACATCTTTGCTATCAACAGCGCTCAGCTTTGCTACCAACAGTTGTCACAAATATTGAGTTTCTGAGCTGGGCTCCATGGGACAAAGAAAGCATTGGCAAAGTATACCTATTAGTCATAATCACCCTTCTAAATTTGTATTATTACTACTTTTTAATCTGATAATCTCATTAATTCTCATAGCATCCCTATTACATAAAGGAGAATAACAGATCTCAAGTTTGTGAGCTAAGGCCTAAATAAGTAACATGTTTTAATTCATATGGCTGTTTGAATGTAATCATGAGATTACAACTGGAATCAGGAGTCAGATGTGATGGTGAATCCTATAATTCTTATGACTTGGGAGACTGAGGTAGGAGAATTGCAAGTTTGACACTAGCCTCGTTGATTTAGGAAAAATAAAAATAAAAAGGCTGGGGAGTAAGAGTGGTTGCTTAGCAAGTACAAATTCCTCGGTTCAATCACGAGTATTGAAAAAAAAAAAAAAAAGGAGAAAAACTACTTGGAGGTGGGGATGGGAAGAGCAAATAAGTTCAAGGCCAGCCTCAGCAACTCAGTGAGACCTTGTCTCAAAATAAAAAAATAGAAAGGGTTGGGGATGCAGCTCAGTGGTGGAATTTCCTTGGGTTCAGTCTCTAGTACTGGGGAGTGGGGGACTAGAACCACATTTCTTTCTTTTTTTTTTTTATGGATTCTGAATTTTTAAAATACCTTTATTTTATTTTTTATGTGGTGCTGAGGATTAAACCCAGGGCCTCATGTGTGCTAGGCAAGCACTCTACCACTGAGCCACAGCCTCAGTTCCGTGGAACCACATTTCTTATTGATCAAACAAGTCCTCTTTTTTTGATAACTACATTAAGTGAAATTTGGTCTTGATGTTTTAAAATAAAATTCCAAAGAAATTCTTGTATTTGTATGGAAGTTTCATGGCTTAGACAATCTAGTAGCCAGGAGAGGGTCATAGTGTTTTTGTTTTTTGTTTTTTATCTTGAAATGAGAAAATTAAGGCTTAGAAAGATTTTCACCTGGTGTTGTATAGCTTGCAAGTGAGAACTGTGACTAACACTTAGCCCTTTTCTATCCAGTGTTTCTGATAAATTAGACTCATGGCAATTAGATCTTTAGAAGAAGCCAGCAAGTATATGTTGACTAGGACTCAACCCCTGCCTGAGTCTTCAGCCTCAGTCTGTTACTAGTCAGTGTAAGTTTTTAGGTTTTAAAGGTTGTCAGGCTTTTCTTTCAGATCCAGGTTTGAGACCAGGATTATACTGGTTCATTTTGATGATGTATGACTTGAATTCATTGCCTTCTTGGGGCCTAAATAATAGATCTAGAATAGATGACTGATCTTATCTTTCACAGGAATCAGGGGAAGAGTTTTGACTAGGACTACTTACTGGTAATGGGACCAAGGTATGAAGTCATTTGAGCAAGAACTTATCTTTGGCAGGGTTCAGTCCACTTGGACATTTTCACTGAACTGGAAAGCACAGCTTAACTCTGTTTCTAGGCCCTGGCTGGGTATTTGACGGTGCTTCCTAGGTGAGACCAGTGAGCTGGAATGACATCCATGAGAGGAGAGCCCAACAAAGATCCAGGAAATTGTAGTCAATTTATTAATCTAATTAAATAGAACAGTTACTTAGTGCTTTCTCAACTCTTATTTGTTCAGTAAGAGGCTTTTGGAATTGAAATAATTTACCAGTCTAGCTCAGAGAATGTATGAATTACAGAGGGCAGATCAGTTTAAATTGGCTCTTTATATTAATTTAAGAAATGTCACTGCATTTAGACTGAACCATAGCAAGGGTAAGCAGCAGTCCTCCAACATCAGGGTGGGTTAGAGTCTCCTGGGAGACTTGTTTATAAACTACTCCTGAGCCCCACTCTAGGGCTTCTGTTTGGTGATGGGACTTGGGCCCAAGATTTTGCATTTCTAACAATTCCTAGGTTGATTGTGGTGGTCCTGGGATTGCACTTTTGAGAACTACTGACTTAGGACAAGAAAATGAGTTCTAGGTATAGCTATTTTTCTTTCTCCTCATTGAGGTCTTTACAATAAGGGAAAGGGAATTAACCTATTAGTCTGTACCTTGCAAGACCCCATGCCAGATGATTTGCAGTCATTATTTAACTTAACCCTTGAAACCACTGGGCAAAGGAGTCCCCATTTCATACTGCCTCAACTTACACCCTGTTTTAAAAACCTGCTGGAGTAATTTTTTTTTCCCAAGGACAGTTTTTAGTTATATCTCAAAGAATAATATTGGTGTATACCATTACAGGTCTGATTTTTTTTAATGTAGCCCGTATGTTAAATTTCATTGCTATTGTGGATTCATTACTGTCCTTGTAGATTTATGAGATATAAGACATAATTTAGCAGTAATGATTTATAATTGATGAGATTAAATGAGGTATGTTTCCTCTCAAGTGAATGAGAGCTTGATTTACTGTTAAGTAAAATATTTTTTCTGATCATGGGAAAGATGAGGATATATTCATTTTATCACAATAGGTTATTTTTGAGCGTTACCAGTTGGTTATTGATCAATCCTATTTTTACAAATAAGGTGAATTTCAGGATACTAGGTACAAAGACATGACTGAATTTTTGATAATAATCAGAAGACTTCCTCATTTAAAGTATTCTTTGTTAATGTTGTTTTGAAAGGTCAACTTGTTTTCAATGGAGCTCAGTGAAGTTACTTTGTGTTGTTTGACAGAATCGCACAGAATTATTAAAACAGTGACCCAAGCAATTGAGTTGAAGGCATTCTGAGGAAACCTGCTATTTATTGTGAAAATCATCTTTGATTTTGGAATAAAAAATAAAGCTGGAAAGGAATTTACAGACGAAAAAAAGAAGTTTGAAATTGGACTCACAGGATCTGGGCTTGGAAATGCCTCAGGTAAATCATAAGGAATAGGTGCCAAGTTCTGTTTTCCTCCTGTAGAAAGCTAGCACCATGGGCTTATAAGTTCTGAGTCTTAACACAATTTGGCATGTTGCTATTATTGCTGATCTCAACTTGTTTGGAAATCGTGTCCTCCTTCCTTTGCCTTCTGTTTTCTCCTAGCCACAGCTTTGAACTCCAATGAATTTGTCACAGGAAGCATGGTGAATAGGTAGGTTAGGAAGTGGGTAGATCTGATAGCTTTATGGGGGATAAACCAGATCCCTAAAAATGAATCTGCTACAGCAATCCATTTTCCATCTCCTTTGGTTTCTTCCTGATTTCCAACTCCTTCCTTTCATTTTTGACGGTTGAGAAGTAGTTAAAAGGAAACAGGGCTCTCAATCTCTTCCCATCTCATCTGTGTCTCACATGTGTGTGCATGCACATGCACATACCTCTTGAAAAATATGTCTAAGGATGATTATATTAGGCAGTTATTTGAATTGATCAGTTCGGGTTTGAGGCAATCACTGAAACAATAAGTGGAGCCTTCTTAGTCCCTGTTCTTTCCCAAACTCCTTGCCTTTTAGTTAGCTCCTGCACTCCCTGTTTGTTTCAGTGCTGGGAAGAAACCAAGAACTAATGAGTGGGCAGAGATTTAGGCTGCTTTCTGTAAGGTCTGTACAGAAGTATTCCTTAAATGCAGGGAGTCAATGACTTCCAGCAGAGGCGAAGAAGGGAACTTGCTAGCTGATACTAAAAATGCCAGAGGGCCACCTCCCCCAGCTCTGTGCCACATGGACTGCACATGGGTTTTAGGATTCTTGCCCAAACAAGATTTAGTTTGTTGTTATTGACTACTTGAATTTAGGACTATACAACTTTTTCCCAGCCTAAATATTTTGAGGAAATAAGGTCCCACAGGTCTAGAAGGGGTAGGGAAAGTCAGAGAAAGAAAGAATGGAATGGGGAGCATCAAGAAAGAAAAATGGGAAGAGAGTATATGAAAGGCCATTCATGGTAAGCAGAGGGTGTGGGTAGAATCTTAAGCCAATAGACTAAAAGCATTTTAAAAACTTGTGCAGAAATTTGCAGAAGAAAAACAAAGGTAAAGAGAAACATTTTATTCTTTCTCATCAGAGTTAGATTTCAGAATGAGGCCTTTATGTTATTTGAGCTGCTTTACAAGTGTGAGTTTTGACTTTGAAGTGATTTGGGATAGATGTTGAAATGTAAAAAGGCAATAGAAAGAAAACAGAGGAATATTAACTTTAAATGCAGAGTCTTTTTTTCCTTTTGTTTATTATAGAATGAAGTGTACTTTCCAGGAATCAAGATGAAAGCTACAGAGGTCATGCCCAAGTTTCTGATCACAGCCAGGAGATTTGGGGGCTATTTTGTTGATCCTATTTGTTGGAGTAAAGGTGTCATAATTGTCCTCCAGTTTGTTCTGGGAAATGAGATGCTAATCGCACTCAGCAGTACAGAGTAGAGCTGATGTGAACCTTTGCAGGTCCCAGGAAATGCCAGGATTCTCTACTTTAGGAAGGATTTGAAGAAATGTTGTAAAAGTGTTCATTAAGTGCTGCACACTGACTCTGGTGCTAAATAAACTTTAATTTTTATAAGTTAGATATTATTAGCAATTGCTACTATTTTTTTTTCTATTTTTTAATGCACCTTAGGTATTTTCCTCATGTAATTCCACAGTTAAATGCTAGTAAAAGCTCTTAAATGTTTCTATACAGTAGAAAAAAAATTCAGAATTATTTTCTGAAAGTAAATTGCTTGGAGTGAGGTTCATGTGTAATAAATTGGTCTTAAGTACTGTTTAGCTTTCTAAAATGAAATCACTGTATTATAGCCTAGCGTCAGCGGAATGGACCCACCTTTTGGGGATGCCTTTCGAAGCCACGCCTTTTCAGAGCAGACTCTGATGAGCACAGATCTCTTAGCAAACAGTTCTGATCCAGATTTCATGTATGAACTGGTAAGCATATATATATATACATTTTTTTTAATTTCAGCTTTGGTTGATTTAGGGTAAAAGTTGTGGTAGATTTTCTTAATCTATAAATGCCTGAAAAGAAAAAAAATATTGTGATATTTGATTTTTGTGACTATATGTCTAGTAATTTTAGAAGGATATATAAACCCATTGAAAATAGAGAAGAGGTTATAAGTATCTTCAAGTTTTTCATGAGGAGAATAAGAATCTGGCTTGTTCATTTGTTTGTTTTAGGGTGCTGGGGATTGAATCCAGGGCTTCTCGACTGCTAGGCAAGTGCTCTACCTCTGATCTACATCCCCAGCCCAGAAGCTTTGGTTTCTTTTTGTTTTTGCCTGCTTCTGGTTTTTTATCTGGAAAATTAAGGAATGATGCATTGAGCAAGATGGTAGGATACAGAGTATGTGAGGCAAAAGTAGAAATTCAGAGTAATACTTGAATATACTTTTTATGAGATAAAATTCTTAACATCTTCTAAAAAATAATTTTGATACATATGACATAAGTAATATGGAAGTATATAAAACTGGAAAACTGAGTGTACAAAATGTAAATTTATTTAAAAATCATTGAATCATACACTTAATAAAATTGAGTTTTATGGTATCTAAACCTACTACAGTGAAGCTGTTAAAACACAGTTACACAAGCTAAAACAACCTAGATGAACAAATAAACTAAAAACTTAGAGTAGAAATGGAAAACTTCCTGGTTTCTTTTCTTTTTTTTTTCTTATGGTGCTGGGGATTGAACCCAGGGCCTTATGCATGAGAAGCAAGCACTCTACCAATTGAGCTATATCCCTAGACCCTTCCTCATTTCCTTACTGAGCCTCCACCTTCCAGACCTTTTTCTCAAAAGGTAACTACTATTAAACCAAATTTTTCCTGTGCATTTATAAACATATGGGTATGTTTCTTAATTAGATGACATACTTTTAGATGCAGTATTCTTTCACTTGCTTTTTAAATATAGATATATATGAATTGTCTTTTTTAGGACTAACCTTCATTCTTTTTAATGGCTACAAAGTGTTACGGACTTTAAAAATCACATCTCTAAATTGCATGAGGAATATTTTACTTCCCTGTCCAGAAATTGTTACAGTATCTTGCAAAAGATCTTACATTCTGTGGCTGAGTTCCAGCTTTCTTTGGGGTGCTCTTTGCCTCTATATTTAATCTACTTAGGAACACATATTCTTCTGTAATGAAGGTGAGGTCTTCATTATTTGCTTCTTAATTGAAGCTAAAGATACCCCTGCCAAATCCTCCCAAGACCAGGAAATGTAAACTCATTTTAGGAAGCATTCATAGTAAAGCTCCAGAGCTCTTGGTATTTGGACCATGCCTAAGCCTCTTGAGGAACATATTTTCCCTCCTTTTTTTTTCTTGCCCAGTGAAATGATGATGTAGGTGTCATGTCAGTAGCGTTCTTAAAGCAGACCAGAGGTAGAGTAGTTATATATCTATCAGTTTGATATGTGCAAGTGATGATGGAAGTAATTATTCTGAAAATATGGTGTGTGACTTGTTTTTTTAAACCTTTCTTAGGATAGAGAGATGAACTATCAACAGAATCCTAGAGACAACTTACTTTCTTTGGAGGACTGCAAGGACATTGAAAATCTGGAGTCCTTCACAGATGTTCTGGATAATGAGGGTGCTTTAGCCTCAAACTGGGAGCAGTGGGATACATACTGTGAAGACTTAACCAAGTACACCAAACTAACCAGCTGCGACATCTGGGGAACAAAAGAAGTGGATTACTTGGGTCTTGATGACTTCTCTAGCCCTTACCAAGATGAAGAGGTCATAAGTAAAACTCCAACTTTGGCCCAGCTTAATAGTGAGGACTCTCAGTCTGTTTCTGATTCCCTTTATTATCCTGATTCACTTTTCAGTATCAAACAAAATCCCTTACCCTCTTCATTCCCTGGTAAAAAGATCACAAGCAGAGCAGCTGCCCCTGTGTGTTCTTCAAAGACTCTTCAGGCTGAGGTTCCTTTGTCAGACTGTGTCCAAAAAGCAAGTAAACCCACTTCAAGCACACAAATCATGGTGAAGACCAACATGTATCATAACGAAAAGGTGAACTTTCATGTTGAATGTAAAGACTATGTAAAAAAGGCAAAGGTAAAGATCAGCCCCGTGCAACAGAGCCGGTCCTTGCTGAGCCAGGCACATGCAGATGCTGCGAAGGAGAACATGTGCTACTGTGGTGCCGTGGCAAAGAGGCCAGAGAAAAAGGGGTTGGAACCTCTCCAGGGCCATGCCACCCCCACCTTGCCCTTCAAAGAAACCCAGGAACTATTACTTAGTCCCCTGCCCCAGGAAGGTCCAGGGTCGGTTGCCACAGGAGAGAGTAGTAGCCTTTCTGCCAGCACGTTGGTCTCAGATTCATCCCAGAAAAAAGAAGAGCACAATTACTCTCTTTTTGTCTCTGACAACTTGGGAGAACAGCCTACCAAATGCAGTCCTGAAGAAGAGGAGGATGACGAGGAGGATGTTGACGATGAGGACCATGACGAAGGGTTTGGCAGCGAGCATGAACTTTCTGAAAATGAGGAGGAAGAGGAGGAGGAAGAGGATTACGAAGATGACAAAGATGATGATATTAGTGACACTTTCTCTGAACCAGGTATTAAATGTTTGGAGGCTTACAAACTGACCTTTCTATCTCTGTTTTGAAGTGGAAAGATTTTGTTTGGGTGGTTTATTTTAGTTTGAGGATTAAATGACTATATTGACCTAGATATATAATTGCTTTCTTAAAAATCTTTTTTTTTTTTCTTTTTTGGGTACTGAGGATTGAGGGATTGAACTCAGGGATGCTCCACCACTGAACTAAATCATTAACCCTTTTCATTTTTCATTTTGAAACAAGAGTCTAAGTTGCCCAGGCTGTCTTGAACCTGTGATCCTTCTGTCTCAGCCTTCCAAGTGGCTGGGATCACAGGTGTGCATTGTAATGTTCAGCTTGTGATTTCTTTTTTCTATTCAAACAGCTCTAAAATGATTGCTTCTCCTCATACAGTAATTCATATACTGGGTTCCTTTCTTAAATATCTTATGTTGTGACCTGATTTGTCACTGTCCTTGAGCAGTTGTGCAAAGATGCCAAGAATCTTTTGGTCTAAAACATATTACTATCTAAATATGACCCTCTACGACAGTCACAGTATATTAGAAGTATCTAGATATTGAACCAAGTAATGATAGTTCATGTTACTCAGGCCTATAACCAACAAATTCTGTTTAATGTTGTAATGGTGGGCTTTTTTTCTGTCATATTTTCATTTCCACAGTATTTTCTCATTTAAGAAAAATAATGTTATAATTTGAGCATTGGGGAGACCCCTGTTCATTTTGTACAGTGCATGTAAATAAATGGGAGAAAGAAGTTGAAACTTGCAGGGAACTGGATGACTTCAGCATTTCCAGGTTTGGGCCATTATCTTTGTAGGCTGGTGTAGACTGTTTATTGCCAAGTGACACACAGTTAAAAATGCACAAGGAAGTGAAGGTCTTTGAGCCAGGCGCTTGACACACACTTATAATCTCAGTGACTTGGGAAGCTGAGGCAGGAGGATCACCAAGTTTTAGGCTACCTTAGCAAATTAATGAGACCCTCAGAAACTTAGTGAGACCTTGTCTCAAAATTAAAATTAAAAGACTAAGAATGTAGGTAGCTTAGTGGTAGAGTATGCCTGGGTTAAATCCCTAGTCCAAAAAAAAGAAAGAAAAATTAAGATCTTCAAATTCAAACAGAAGTTGTTTGCTTACCATGTTCAGCCAGAGGAAGGAGAAGCTGTGCTCCATTTGTGTACAGTATGCCAAAATGTATTCTTCTGTCATATGTAACCAATTAGAAAAAAATTGTTATAAAAGATTATTTGCTTAAAAAATAGTATTGAACATTTAAGATCTGCCCATCGCAAATCTTGAGTACACAATGAAGTGTTATTTACCATAGTCAGCAAGCTATATCCAGAACTCATTCATCCCGCAGAACTGATGCTGTTGTCTTTGATCAACTCTCCCCATTTCTCCCACCTGCCAGCCCCTGGAAACCACCATTCTACACTCCACATTCTAGATTCCACATATGAGTCTGTAGTCCTCTTTCCATGCCTGGTGTGTTCACTAAACATACCATGCTTCAGGATCAGCCTTTTTAAAAACTTGAGTAATATTCTTCTCTGAGTGTGTGTACACACATTTTCTCTATATATATGTCCACAATGTCCTTAAAGGCAATTCTGTATCTTGCATATTGTGAATAATGTTGCAGTAGATGTAGGAATGCAGATATGTTCTAGAGACTGATTTTTTTTTCCCTTTGGCTGTGTTTCTGGAAGTAGGGTTGTTGAAGCATATGGTAAGTCTGTTTTAATTTTTTCTTTTTTGATTCTGGAGATCGAACCCAGGGGTGCTTTACCACAGTGTTTGATCCCCATCAATCTATCTGTCTGTCTATCTATCTATCTATCTATCTATCTATCTATCTATCTATCTATCTATCTATCTATCTATTTTTGTGGTGCTGGGGATCCAACCCAGGGCCTCACACATGGTAGGCAAGTGCTCTACCACTGAGCCACATCCCTGTCTCATTTTATTGTTTGAGACAGGGTCTTGTTGAGTCGCTCAGCACCTCACTGAGTTGCTAAGGCTGAGATCCTTCTGCTTCAGCCTCCTGTGTCCCTGGGATTCTAGGCATGCAGTGTCTGCAGTGTTTTAGGTGTGGGATTTTTTTCAGATTTTGAAATGTTTGCATAGACTTCATTGTTTTAGTATCCTTACACCAGAATGCTCCAAAATATAGAACTTTTTGATCATCTAGTACTCAAAAAACTTTGGATTTTGAAACATTTCAGATTTGGGGTTAGGATGCTTACCCAGCATTTTATTCAAAACTTTTGTGTCTGTATTTATCAGGTGAATGGGCCTGTAATTTTTCTTTTCTGTTGTCCTCTAGTCTGGATTTGGTATCATGGTAATGTTACCCTTGTAGAATGAGGTTGGAGGTGTTCCCTCCTCTTTACTGTTTTGGAGGAATTTGAGGATCTGTGTTAATTTGTCCTTAAATATTTAGTAGAATTCACCACCGAAGCCATCATGCCCTGGGCTTTTATTTTTTGAGAATTTTTGATTACTGATTCATTCTCCTTACTTGTTACTGGTCTGTTCAGAGTTTTTGTTTCTTCTTTCCTTCCTCCTTTCTGAGAGGCAGTCTTACTGTTTTGTCCAAGCTGGCCTTGAACTCTGACTCCTCCTGCTGCAGCCTCTCAAGTAGCTGGGACTGCAGGCATGCAGCCTTGCGCCTGGCAGGGCTTCTGTTTCTGTGTGACTCAGTCTTGGTAGGATGTCTGTTCAAGAATTTATTTATTCTAGGTTATCCAATTTGTTGGTGTGTAAAATTACTCACAGGGTCTCTTTTGATCCTTTGTATTTCTGTGTTATTTTGTTTTTCCTTTCATTTACAACCTTATAGTCTTCTTTTCCTTAGTCTAGCTAATGCCTTATTAATTTTATTTCTTTTTTTAAAAAAACCTTCATTGATATTTTCTATTGTTTTCTAATCTTTATTTCACTTACTGACATGATCATTGTTATTTCCCTCCTTCAGCTAACTTTCGGTTGGTTTCTTTTTTCTAGTTCTTGAGGTGTAAAGTTTACTTGTTCACTTGAAATCTTTCTTTTTTCTTAATGTAGACATTTATTATTGTAAAATTCCTTCTTAAAACTCTTTTTGCTACATCTCATAAGTAAAATGGATATGTTGTTTCCATTTTAATTTCTCTCAAGGTTTTTTGTTTCTTTCGTTTTTTGACTCATTGGTTGTTCAGGAGTTTAATTTGTACATATTTGATTTTTTCCAATTTTCTTCTCTTTATTGCTTTCTAGTTTCACACCATTGTGGTCAGAAATAAATTTTTTAAATAATTGGTGTGAATTTCAGCCTTTTGAATTTATTAAGACTAGTTTTGTAGCTAATTTATAATCTATTCTGTATAATATTCTTTTTATGCTTGACAAAAATGTGTGTTCTTCTGCTGTAGGTTGGATTTTCTATGTGTGTTTTTAGGACCATTTGTTGTTTTTTTTTTTTTTTTTTTGTCCTGGGGATTAAACTAGGGAACACTTGACCACTGAGCCATACACAGTGAGTTTTATATTTTCATATGTTTTTGTTGTTAGCTAGCATCATTTCAATGCAAAGAACTCATGTTCATGTTTTTCATAAGACCCATTTAGTAGTGATGAATTTCCTCAGTTTTTGTCTGGGGAAGTCTAGTTTTTATTCCTGAAGGACAACTTTTCCTGGTATTCTTGACAGGGTTGACAGGGTTTTTTTCTTTTAGCACTTTGAATATACTATCCTCCTGTCTTCTGGCCTGCAAGATTTCTGCTGAGAAAACCATTGGTAGTTTATAATGGTTCCCTTGTATGTAACACAGTTACATTTCCTGTCTCAAAATTCTTCACTTTAAATTTTTAGAATTTAATTGAAATATATCTTTTTATTTATCTTTTGTATGTGTTTGTTTCTTTGGTTGCAGTGTATCTTGATGGGAATCTTTTATTTTTAATCTATTAAGATTCTTTGAGCTTTACTGATCTAGATGTTCATTTCCTTTTGTAATCTATCTGTGTCTGTCTTTCTTTTTTTTTTTTTTCTTTTTGGTACTGGGGGTTGAACTTAGGGCACTTAATCACTGAGCCACATCCCCAGCCCTTTTTATTTTTTATTTTGAGTCAGGGTCTTGCTAAGTTGCTTAAGGCCTAAGTTGGCGTCAAACTTGAGACCCCCCCGCCTCAGTCTCCCCAATTGCTGGGATTACAGGTATGCACCACTGTGTCTGGCTAAGTCAGTGGTTATTCCTTTAAATGAGCCTGCTGCCTTCCCTGTTTTTTCTGTTTCCTCTGGTATTTCTGTAATATACATATTGTTTCCCTTGGTGGTATCATATAAGTCCTGTTATGCTTTCTTATACTGTTTTTCATTCTTATTTCTTCTTGTTCCTCCAACTGGGTAATTTCAAATCACCTATCTTTGAATTCATTGATTTCTTGAAAGAAATCAATGATCAAGTCTGCTTGATCAAGTCTGCTGTTGAAGCTTAGTGTGGAATTTGTTTTTTCAATTTAATTCTTTAGTTCCAGAATTGCTGCTGTTTTTTCATAGTTTCTCTTTGCTGAATTTTTCATTTTTCCCATTTGTTATTTTCCTGACTCATTTAGATGTCTGTCCATGTTCTTCTACAGATTTCTGAATTTATTTAAGATAATTAGTTTGAGTTCCTTACTGGGTAGTTCTTAGATTCCCCATTTATTTTGGGTAGTTACTGTTGTCTTCTTTTTGTTTCCTTTGGTGGTATTCTATTTTTCTGATTATTTATAATCTTGTGGCCTTGTGTTGGTGTCCATGCAGTTGAAGATGTAAATACCTCTTCAAGCTTTACAGACTGGCTTTGCCATGAAAGCGCTCCACTGGTAGCCTATCCAGAAATGGAGGCTAGCTGGACAGGTCCATATGGGGCTTGCTGCTGGAGTCTCATGGTGGCTAGCCTGCTACTTGGGTCAGTGGGCAGATGGGCATGATGGCTGGGTCCGTGGGGATCAGCCTGAAACCTGGCTGACCTGGAAAAGGGATGGGCATGGGCCCTGGGTGTCTATAGAGGCCATCCCAGCACCTGGAGCCAGGGATATGGGGCTGCTCTGGGTCTGTAGCTTTCAACCTTTTTACACCCCTGATACTAGGGATAGAACTTAGGGTTTCATTTATGCTAGGCAAGTGCTCTACCACTCAACCACATCCCCAGCCCTTTTTACTTTTTATTTTGAGACAAGATCTTGCTAAGTTGCCCTGGCTGGCCTCTAACTTGCAGTCCTTCTGCCTCAATCTCCTGAGTGGCTAGGATGACAGGCATGTGCCACCATGCCTATGTCCTTTCTTTGGTTTTTCATTTTTACTTGTGTTTATTTTATTTTTGAAACAAGATCTCACTGATTTGCCCAGGCTGGTCTTGCACTTGTGATCCTCCCCTCAGCCTCACAAATCGCTGGGATTACAGGTGTGTGCCATCATGCCTGGCTCTCCTTTAGTTGACTTTTTTTTTTAAAAAAAATGTTTTTAGTTGTAGATGGACACAATACTTTCATTTCATTTATTTTATTTTTATGTGATGCTAAGGATTGAACTCATTGCCTCACATGTGCTAGGCAAGCGCTCTGCCACTGAGCCCTTGATTGACTTTTATCTCCACTTTAAATTCACTGTCAGTCTTTTCACTTGGTTCCATCTTGATAAATGGATTGAGAGTTGAAGTCCATGTAAAGAGGACTTACGTGTAAAGACACGTACACGTACGTGTAAAGACACTTACGTGTAAAGACACGTAAAGTGACAATTGTAAATTGTCACATTGTAAATTGATCCCTATTTCCATTTTGTCAGCCTTTTTGACTAGCATAGAAAGAGGGAATATATTTTTGTAGTTAGTGTCCTGTCATGCCATATTCCCTTCCCTGTTTCTCATAGCAGAACCCTTGATTATGAGCTTGTTGTTCTGAAGCAACCAGGCAGTTACTGTGCATTATCTGGCACTTAGCAGGGTCAAGTTCTTTTTTTGGACCTATTTAATAATGCTACTGAATGTGTGGAAGGTGTTTAAATCATCATTTCCAGTTGACTTGAAGTAAAACCCTTTTGGGTAGTATTACTTGGTCAACTCTCTCAAATGTTAATGAACAACATGCTTTAATCATAAAATTAACACATTTTTGTGATATTATTTGGGTTTTATTCACATTTGCTAATGAAAATCTCCCCTTTTCTTGAAATAAAGAGCTAAATAAGCAACTTCAGGGATATGAAAGTGAATTATTGGTGAGAGAAAGAAATTCTTTGAATCCAAAAAGTAAGGATAAACTTCCTTCCCAGTGCTAGTTTTAGGGTGGGCTGAGGGTTGAGTGTGCAGCAGATGGTTTACAAAGGCCCTTTTGTGGTGACTCGCTCTCTGCATGCTGCTTCTTGGCAAATGGTTGCATCAGTTCATGAGCCTGCACAGTTCCAGGAAAGGTGCAAAATGGAGTTTCAGTGCCTATTCTGGACTGACTGCCAAGTTTTAATAGAGCCTATTCTGTGGACAGGCTACAACTGTTAGGAGTCATGAAATTACATGGTTCTAAGACTAAAAGTGGGGCCCCTAGAGTGAGAGTTTGTTTTGTTAATCCCCACTAATCATTTTCACAGTTGACTTTACCAGCTTAATGGCAGTAGTCTGCTAACCACAGATGTTTGATTAGAATTTAAATGGTCTTCTTGATTTCCTTTTGATAATCATATCAAGAAAGAATGATATCTTTACAGTGATATAGCAAATGGAAATAGAAAAGGGCTTCATGAGAAATGTTGCATTCAAAAATTGTTTATTAAATAAAGATTTTTTTGAGCTGGATGTGGTGGCCATACCTATAATCCCCTGGTTCTGGAGAGGTTGAGACAGGAGGATCACAAGTTAGAGGCCAGCCTGGGCAGTTTAACAAGAACTGTCTTAAAATTAAGTTTAAAAAGGGACTGAGGATGTGGCTTTGTGCTAGCATGGGGGAGGTCCTAGGTTCAGTCCCTAGTACTGGAAAAAAATTTTTTTTCAAGTATCTACTTTGGGTTAGGTACTGTGTGTGTTAGGTATTGGCTATACAGAGATAAACAAAACAAACATAATCCTTGTCTTCATGAAACTTAGAGTTGATATGGGGAAAGGTAATTTTTCTCCATAGTTTTTATATTGAAAAATGCATAGTTTGAGGCAACAAATTTATTGTGTGGGGGGCAGGGAAATAGGGATAGAGAGAATAGGAGAGAGAGAAGGATGGTGAATTTTTGGTATTTGTTATTAGAATATATTAATGTACTGAGTTGGAGAAAACCAATGACCCTTAACTACTTTTTGGGAAAAGGCTGGATGTGTGTGACTAAATAATACTAGTAATTAATAACTAATTTGGGTAAGGCAAGAAAAAATGAAAATCTTCCTGACTCTGAACTCAACATAGAATGTGAATAAAATCCATTCATACCATGTAATGAGTTAGGCACAGGGAAAACAGGAAGTCCACTTGGAGGTAGACTCCGTCAGTCATGTAACCTGACTTGGACTTACCTCTGCTGGATCTTGTTACCCCTTCATGAGTGTGTGTGTTTGTACAAATGGGGTCAACAACCTCTTCCTTACCAGGTTCTTAGAAGCTTCAGATTAAACATATGAGTACATTAAGTGAGGGAGACAATATTTTGCCATCTGAGGATAGGCAAAATAAGATGCTAGCTAAGGGAACATATAGAGTATCCAGGAACAAGTGACTCAGGGGGCTGAGGCCAGAGGATTGCCAGTTCAACATTAAATTAAAGGGCTGGGGTTGTAGCTCAGTGGTAGAGCGCTTACCTAGCAAGCATGAGGCACTGGGTTTGATCTTCAGCACCACATAAAAATAAATAAATAAAAATAAAGATATTGTATTAATATTCAACAAAAATAAATAAATTAAAAAGCTCTAGGAATGTAGCTCAGAGGTAGAGAGTCCCTGCGTTCAATCCCCAGTGCCAAAAAAAAAAAAAAAAATCCAGGGGATGGATTGCCTGGAGCTATATGAAAAATATCTCTATGCCTTGGGCTGTGCTAGACTTGTGGACCAGAAGTTGTGGCCATCAGTAGGTAGGTAGAACTCTTTTTTTTTTTTTTTTTAATACCGCTGTTGAGGCATTCCTAGCTTAGTTATTAGCTTAGTTATGGTAATACAGTGTGCCCCTTGTTCCTTTTCCTAAGCTAGGTTGATATCTGGAACAACAATAAATCCTTTAATTTGAAATGAAACATAAGCACAAGTAAATAGTTCAAAGCTTTATTGTCTGACAGTTTTTTAAAAATCAGACTTTTGGGGGCTAGGGGCATAGCTCAGGTGGAGGGCCTACCTTGCATGCATGAAGCTCTGGGTTTTTGATCCCTAGTACTGAGGGGAAAATTCAGACTTCTGAAAATGGTTATGTCACTCAACTAGTGCATCATTTTAAAAGAAGAACCTAAGGTTCACTGTCAAACTGATTGCTATATTTCTTTAAAGTACCACATGTGCACCAGTATATACTTCACAGGTTTGTGAAGTACACTCTGCGGTGTTCAAACACCAACAAACCACCTAATGACGTATTTCTCAGATATTTCTTACTGTTATTAAGTGACACATAATTGTATCATTCATGCCAGAATTGCCACAAAGATCTTGCCTTGACCATTGCTCAGAAAATCACTCTGCTTTCCAAATTCATCTCTTTTTTAAAGCCATGGTTATGGAGTATAATTTTCAGTCAGATTCACTCTTCTTGCAGAGTGTGCTCCTGTGAGTTTTGGTTTTCTGTAGTCCTGGGTGTAGGTCTTGACAAACGCATGTCATCATGTAGCCACCTCCCCAGTCATAACACAGGATGGTTTGGTCAGCCCCCAGATTCCCTTATGCTCCTTTACGGCCATCCCCTTCCTCCACACCCCTCCTGGCAACCACTGTGACTCTGGCTTTGCCTTTTCCAGGATGTCATATAAATGAACTATACTCCTGATTGATTCCTACTTTGAAGAAAACTTGGTAAAATTCTGAAATTTAGACTTTTCTCCCAAAACAAACAGATGCCATCAATTTCTTAGTGATGGTCCAGAGGAGTCTTGGTTTTTAGCAGGAAATGGTTGTTTTGCTTGGCTGGTGCTGCTGGTTTTTCTGCTGCTTCAGGTTTGGATGGTGTACATGCTGTGCGTGGTCCCCCCTCTGTCCCACGTACTGAGCACTGGAGAGTACACCTCCTTCCCTGGGGAACTTTAGGTATGTAGGGCATCCTGTATTGGGTCTAATCAACAGATGTAGTAGCTTACAATTAAGTATTTTCTGAAGCTTCTTATTAGTAAACAAAATAGCTCCTTTAAAAGTGAAGTATCTGGGTGATGGTGGCACACACCAGTAGTCCCAACTCCTTGTGAGGCTCAAGCAGCAGCAGCACTTGAGCCCAGGAGAAGACCAGTGTGGGCAATGGCTAGATCTCCATCTAAAAAAAAAAGTGAAGGAAATATATATTGCTTCTACTGAAATATTAGCTAGAATAGGCATATAAATTTTTATTTGATAGTCTGGGTGAGAATTGTCTTTTGTACGTTTCCAAAGTGGGGCTGGGTGGGTGGGTAGAAAACCACTGCTGCCTCTAAAATCAGAAGAATACACAGCTTTGGTTGGAGATGTATTAGATACATAAAAGCTAAAAGGAGGACATTTAAAAAAATCACACTATAGCTTAGTTACTAGTTATTAGTTTAGTTATGGTAATAACTAAGTTACTAGTTGGGGTGGTAGCTCAGTGGTAGAGCACTTGCCTAGCATATGTAAGACACTGGGTTCCATCCTCAGCACTATAAACAAGTAGAGGCATTTTGTCCGTTTACAACTAAAAAAATTTAAAACACACACACACTATCGTGTCTAAGTACATTATTAATTGGAGCTTTGACATTCCTGTAGCTGTGTTTTTTCTTCCAATCCCATGTGAAGATACTAAAAGAAGTGTCATACATCAACTTAGAAAAACCAAAGAGAAACCTAATAAAGATAAACAGTATAGTTAGCTATGTGTCTTAATCTCTGATATTTTATGAATTATAGATTTACCTTTTGAGTTACTTTATAGACCTGATTTATAATCTTTGATATGCCAGTTATGTTTTTAGATGAAAGGAAGTATCTCAGCTTACAAATAGAAGGGTCTTTTTATTTGTACTGATTAGTTTATTGAAATTTAAGGAGCTTAACAAATTGGTGGGGCCTTTTTTTTTTTAAGGCTATGAAAATGATTCTGTAGAAGACTTGAAGGAAATGACTTCAATATCCTCTCGGAAGAGAGGCAAAAGGAGGTACTTCTGGGAGTATAGTGAACAGCTGACACCATCACAGCAAGAGAGGATTCTGAGGCCGTCCGAATGGAGCCGAGATACCTTGCCAAGTAATATGTATCAGAAAAATGGCTTACATCATGGTAAGAGGGGGGGGATTGCAGTAAAACATTTAGTGTTGCTAAAAATGAGGATACTGAACCATGATGCCCGTGTGCTTTAGAGTCCAGCACTCCTGAGCCCCACTAGAGAGTAGTGTCTAGAGCTGTCCCCAGGCTGAGGGTGCCTTAGTGGCAGAGCACATGCCTAGCATGGGAGGCTTCAGGTTCAATGGATTCCCAGCACTGAAAGAAGAGGAAGAGGAACATTCCCTAGAGAGACGGCATGATGGTGTGAACAGTTGTTTCTAGTCCATTCTTATTCTACTTACCACCATCTAGGAGGCTTGTGGGCCCTGGCCTGTCATAGTCACTATAACCAGAAGCATTGGTGAGAAACAAATGGCTTTAGCATCTCTCTATTCTGTACTTTTCTGGTCTCCAGATTTGAATGTAATCTGGGAGACTGGAATACCAAGGTGGTGGGGAAAAGAGAAGGAAAGAAGAGAAAGGGTGGTTGTGGAAAAGGGTGGAAGGAAGAGTTAAATGGTAGAAATCGAAGACATTTACAATCTAAGGTCAGATTTTGAATTGTGAACTAAGAAAGCTGTAATTAAGTAAGAGTTTCTTCTGCAAAAGTATTTTTACAGTAATTCAAAGTTTTTACCCAAAAAAGGCAGAGAGGGGAAGTACTAGGAAGCTTGGTGTTCAACAAAGACTTCAGTGTTCATTGAGGCTGCAGATTTAAGTCACAAGCATTTTTGAGGATAGGGATTTTATCTTAAGAGTATTTGTGCCTCATTTTCCCTACCATCAGCACCTGGAGACTCTTCTCTCAGTGAATAATTGTGAAATTTTTATATTCAGATTGATTTGCTACCAGAAATGAAAAGGTAAGTCTACTAGGTGCTTGTGATGAGCTCTAGAAAAGTTGTTGTTAATATTTTAGGAGTTTAGAGGACAGAGCCATCCTTTTTGCCTGGAGTGATAAGGCAAGACCCCTGGATTCTCCTGTAATGTTATGTATCAAAGCAGCTGAAGAAGAGCTTTCAAACATATTCTTTATTTCCTGTAGGATTTTTAGTCTGACACACAAATGTATATGTCTGACAAAAATTTCAGTACTAGCCTCAAAATGCCTGGGTTTGGGTAAAATTACAAACTCTCTTCTGACCATATGTTATATCCTATCCTTGATTCTTTTCTGTAGTTGAACTTGAACTTCATTCCTGAGATTTGAGATATTTAGTACTATCTTTCAAAGAGTTAAGAACCTGTTATCCCGAGGCTAAAACTTAGGGGTAGAGAAGGACTTGGAAAAGCTTGGAATTGTGCCATATCGTTCCCATTTCTGTATGCGTGCATGTGTGTGTGTGTGTGTGTGTATGTGTTTCTGGAGATGGAATCCAGGGCCTTATTCATGCCAGTTCAGTGCTCTGGCACTGAGCCATACCTGCAGCCCACCCGTATGGCCAGGGGAAGGAGAGAAGGCTCACCTCTCTTGCTTAGGTTGTTAAACATGCCAGGACTACAACATGAAAAGGTAATGGTGTAGTAGCTGCGGAAAGTGTTCACTAAAATAATCTAACTTAAATTTCTTTTAAACTGTCTATAGGGAAATATGCAGTAAAGAAGTCACGGAGAACTGATGTGGAAGACTTGACTCCAAATCCTAAAAAACTACTCCAGATAGGCAATGAGCTGAGGAAACTGAACAAGGTGATTAGTGACCTGACTCCAGTCAGTGAGCTGCCCTTAACAGCCCGGCCAAGGTCAAGAAAGGAGAAGAATAAGCTGGCTTCCAGGTACATGCTGATAATGTTCACTCATGTGAATCAAGTCTAGGAGTGAGATTAGACCCTAGGCTTTAGTAGGAGAGGTGACCGGCAACTCCATTCAGAAATATTTTTCTTTTGTAAATACTACAATGAGAATATTGTGTTTTTTCCTGTTAAAGTAAAAGATGGCATTTATGCTTTCTGGAAAAGGTTCTAAGGTGGAAGAGGTGAATGGATTTCAAGTGCATTATAATATATTAATGTTTTGGGTTTTTTAAAATTTTTGTACCGGGGATTGAACTAAGGGATACTCGACCATTGAGCCACATCCACAACCCTACTTTGTATTTTATTTAGAGCAGAGTCTCACTGAGTTGCTTAGCACCTCACCAGTGCTGAGACTGGCTGTGAACTCGAGATTCTTCTATCTCAGTCTCCCGAGCTGCTGGGATGACAGGTGTGGGTCACAGTACCTGGCAACAATGGGAGATTTTTATAACTGTATTTTCTGTTTGCTTTTTTTTTTTTTAAGTAAATCAGGTTTATTGAGGTATAATGAAAAAGTAAATTTCACCCATTTTAATGTATTATAGTACAAGTTTTGACAAACATATCCAGTCATAACATTACCACCACAATCAAGATATTGAACATTTTCATCGCCTTACAAATTATAAAATTCTCTCATCTTAGGCTCTCACCAGCTCTGCTCTGTTTTCTGTCCTTACAATTTTGCTTTTCTTGAATGCCTTATAGATGGAAGATTATGTAGCTTAGAGTTTGGCTTCCTTCATATAACATGATGCATTTGAGGTTCATTCATATGGTCTCATGGAGTAATTGTTCTTTTTTATTACTGAGTAATAGTCCTTTGCAGGGATATACTACAGTTTCCTCTGTTTACCATTTGAAGGATCTTTGGGTTGCTTTTAGTTTTTGGCAAGTATGAATAAAACCACCATAAACATTGACTTACTGGTAGTTTGAGTGAACATAGGTTTTCATTTCCTTTGGATAGATGACCAGGTAGGTGTATATGTTCAACTTTGTAGGAAACTACCAAACTGTTTCTCAGAGGAACTTCTATGTTTTGTTTTATATTCCCACCAGAACAGATGGGGCACTACTTGCTTCACACCCTGTATAGTATTTGGTATTTTCAGGTTTTGTTTTACCCACACTTAATAGTTGTGTATTGGTTACAGCTTTATTTCTGAATGAGTGCTAAATTTTAAAAATTTAGTTAGATGATTATAATGAGTGTGTTTTATAATTCAGTTCCTTGATACACACTAGTAGGCAGTGATCTTTGGTTGCTATTAGAAAATGTCTAACAACAGCAAAAAAGTATATTCCAAATATTCTCTTAAAAAGTGAACTAATAGCTCCTTCCTTTTGCAGAGCTTGTCGGTTAAAGAAAAAAGCCCAGTATGAAGCTAATAAAGTGAAATTATGGGGCCTCAACACTGAATATGGTAAACCTGAGTATTGAAGAATTTGATTAACCCTCTGTGAACTTTGCTGACCACCATTTCCCTTTAGTTTTGTTGTTGTCTTTCCCCATATGCTGCCCAGTGTTTGGCTAGCTGCCTTTGTGTTCATCCATTTAGTAAACCACATGCATGCTTCATTCATTCTTGTTCTTCTCCTGGTGGGAACGTCTACATCTGTGGCTCTGAGCCAGATCTCATGTCTGGGCTAGTAGCTGGTCCACTTGGACCACAGTCCTTTCTTCTATAATATAATGATGCTGGATTAGCCAGTTTTGTTGTCTGGTGTTAACACTTTTCTTGAATTGATAAATGGTATTTTAACCTCTGTGTGGATAGTTTAGATCCATGTTTCCAATTTGATTGCTCATTAGAATGTCTGTGTACTTGTTAAAATACAGATTTTTAGGCTTCTCCCCAGAGCTTCTCCATTGAAATAGAACCAAGGAATCTATATCTATACATCTCTATACTTCTCTATCTATCTATCTCTCTGTATATTTTTGTACCCGGAATTGAACCCAGAGATGCTTTACCACTGAGCCATATCTCCAACCTTATTTTTTTTTTCCATTTTTGAGCAGGGTCTTAGGGCCTTGCTAAGTTGCTGAGGCTGAACTTTGAATTGGTGATCCTCCTGCCTCAGCCTCCTGAGCAGCAGGAATCACAGGTGGCCCCACTCTGCCTGGCTGGGAATCTGTATTTTTGTTACTCCCCAGACTACGACTATGAGGACTCCTCCTCCTCCTCCTCTTCTTCTTCTTCTTCTTCTTTTTTTTTTTTTTTT